TCATTGTATCGACCATAGAATTTACGAAATGATGACTTTAAACGGGACTGTTGATATTCTTGTTTCATCAACTTGCTTGTCAATAATTTACCTCGTTTAAGAAATTGTTCATACGTAGAGCATGCTCTTGCATATCGAATCAACTGAGATATAAATACTCCGTATGCAGGTGATGAAGGTATACAGTCAATCAAGGTGATGAGCGAATAGCGAAAGAACAGTTGCCAGTCATTTTATCGACTTAGCACAGGCGACACCGAGATTCAAACTCACAACCTTTCCAACACAAATAAATTTATGTTTACGGTAAAGCAATTAAAGAATTCAAATTCAATAAAATTAAGGTGGATTAAATGTAGTTCCAAATAGGGCGTTAGACCAAACTATATGACATAGAATTAAAATTTTTGAGGTGAAAAGAGATCGACATATAAAATTACGAAATCGTAAACACGGATCCGGATTTCTAAAGACATCGGAGGTTGTTTGACATACCAAGAAGGAATAAGAAAACCCTGATAAACGGTTACATCCAGCAGTGTGCTCTTCGTCATTATTGGCCAGATGCAATGTGTAAATAGAGCTCATGCTCAGAAAGATCGAGGGGGGATTCACATGGATATTGCATTGCTACTGGATGTTTTACTGAAGTAAAAATTCTCTGCCCCCCTCCCCCCTCCACCCAAGTGTAATTGAAAACGCCAATCACTGACTGTAGAAAAAGTTAAACATAATTATGAGGAACTGAAAATGAATCAACTAGCACCCGATCTCCTAAATAGGTAATTTTCAGGGTGGGGAAATCAGGTAATTTTTTTTTATATTAAAGTGATTTCTCTATTGTGCTTTTTGTACAATAAAATCCCAGTCGACTCTTCTATTTTTATTTATTTATTTATTTTTCAATATTTTTTCTGGACCTTTCATTTTATTAAAGGATAGCCTCCTTAATCTACTACATATCCAAATTACATTGTATAAAAAGAATTAAGAATTATCATCTTTCTTTTTTGTGACAGCTATCTGATTGAAACAAGCTAGATCACATGATTAACACAAGCTAAATCACATGATCAAGTATTTAAAAAGTCCTATGTTCTTTTGCGAAGCAAGAAAAGTGCTGACGTCACAATCACAGGCACTTGTTTTGTAGATGGGGCACCCCACTTAATTTAGCGACAATTGCTATATTTGTAACTGTGACGTGATTCCAGGGATCATGGGGAAACTAGATTTTAAAAAAATTAAATAATAATGTACGTAATAATCAGTATTTCATAGTACAAAAGTAATTGTTATGATAAATTAAAGATACTGTACACAGGAACATTTTCGTCCCCGTTTTATTTTCGCCCATTTGCCCTCGTCACGCTTGGGCGAATTTACAACGGGGCGAAATCAAAGAACACTCTATAATTTTTGCTTTCTGCTGCTGAAAGTATAATCAATTATCTGTCACAGATCACAAACTTTGTTTGCTGAAATTCAAATTGTTATTTTTTTAAGAACTGAAAGCTTTGACCGCAGAATATCATGGAATTTCGTCTTTTTTAATCTATTGTTGAAACAGAAGGAAAAAATTTAACCTAGGTTTCCGATAACCTGCACTCGTGAAAAACCGAAATATCCGGCAACTTCAACCGTGTTTCCGATAACATGTTTTTGCCCAACGAAAAATTTTAAATGCCCGTAAAATAATCCATAATTTGAATTTTGATATATGTCTGCTTATCTAAAGGTTTATGATTGTTTATATGGTTAATAAATCACTTTGTTTTATAAAATAAATTGATTCTGACCTCTACAAAGACAAAAATATGTTGACATATTCAGAAAATTTTATTAAATTTCATTTTAAAGAGCTGTAGATCTCTTGAAAGAGTTTGATTTGGATCGTGCTTTTTACCGCTGAAAGTATTATCATTTATCTGACAAAGATCACAAACTTTGTTTGCTGAAGTGCACAATTATCATTGAATGAAGAAATTTTAAATCACCAACGTTTTCTATGCATTGTTTTTCCTGCATCGAGTATCCGATAACAACCGAATTGCCGATAACGCGTTGAGCAGTGTGCTCTTATGCCTCAGGCATAGGCGTAGTCACAGGGGGAGGGCCTGACAGCTGGGGCACTAGCCGGTAGACAGACTACTCGGACCAACGGTCTATCAATATATAATTTTCGGATAGCTACAGATCTGCAGCTAGGCAAGAGTATGTCTGTGCCCCCCACTTTTTAATGGAGAACAAAATCACAGCTATTTTTCCCAAAAATTACCTTTACTATAGGAAATGTTCATTGAAGGGATACTAAGTAGTTTGAAGGGATAGTCCCCCCCCCCCCATTTTTGACCATAGTGTCACAGAATCATTATTTACGTTGTACTATGATTGTTAATATGCGCATGTGTTATTTCATTCATTCATGGTTTGTAAGTTCATGACCTCTGATGTCATACAGTGAGTATTGGATGCGTATGGGTGTGTTTGACTGTTTTTTCCAGTCACTGCGCATGGCTGGCGCGAATTTTATTAACCCTTGCATGAAATAATATTTTTATCACTTCTTATGAAAACCCTCTCAGAGACAGACGTTACTGCTGACTTACATCAATGTAACCTATCCTAATTAAATAGGAATGTAAAAATTCTGTCCACATTGTAAGTTATTTTAATTAAACTATTTTATAATCAGTAAGTTTAATTCTGAATTAGATAATGATATAAATCTCAGTTAAAATATTTAATGTGTGAATGAACGGTACGGAAGGTATTCATATTTATTGTAGACCACCATTGATGATATATACCATACCACATGCCTTATGAAGTATCAATATTAAAATATACTTATTGACTAGTGAGCTGTTTGTGTTTTGGTCTGGAGATATACGAATTCACGTATTGTGACTTATAAGAAAAGTTACACCCTATGACAATAGTATAGTTATATCGAAGAAATGTAAAATAGGAATTGAAAGTAACTTGCCTTTAAAAAAGTTCGCTACTTAATCAATTGATTCTAATAGACTAATCATTTATATATACTGTACCATAGGCGGATTGAGGATGGGGGCGTGTATATATAACTTCGTTCAGAGAAGAGCCTTTAGAAGTCTGAGACCGCCTTAAGGACCCCAGTGGGTCCTGGGCGAAGTACTAGTGGAGCCCAAGGGAGGGAAATTCCCCAAAAGCTCTTGGGTTTTCGGGTATTTTAAGAGTATAACCTAGGGACGTAGCATCCAAGGGGGGGGGGGAGCAGGGGGGCCTGGCCCCCCACTTTTTCCCCCAACATAACCTTTAATATAGTAAATGTTCATTGATGGGATGGTTGCCCCCCCCCCCCCGCTTTATAACCAAAGTATAGTGATAGCAAGGATTGTAAGAAAACAAAATTGAAGTGGTAGTAAGTTGGCTTTGAAGAAATGGCCACTACAAAAATATTGGTATTGTACTAAAAGTATGACAATATTAATATAATTTACCCGAATATCATACTTTGAAATTTTAGGGGAGGGGTCATACACATGTATGCCTAAGACCTTCCTTAAATCTACTTCCACTGTTATGCTGTATGCTTTGTATTACATGTAAATTTATTGGGAAGTATAATTCTTTGACAAGAAAATTTATCTTTTGTGGTGTTTAAGAATTGGCTTGTATTTAATGTGATTCATCACATCTACTGAGTGCACATATTGTCATGTTGATCAACTGACTACAAGTATCCAGTCTGTTAATCTGATTTTAATTGGTTTTTGCGAGCCAAAAAAATGCTGAATTGAAGATTCTGAGGTTAAATTACACGGAGATAAAAAGGTATTTTCACAATATTTAAATATCATAAGTCAAGATAAGATTATTTATTTTCTTTGCTGAGAAAGACGGATTATTTATTTTCAACAGTTTCAGGCACAGATTATTTATTTTAAAATCTGCCCGCCCCCCCCCCCCCCCCCCGAATCAAATGGTCGTCCCCTAAGTAAGGGAAGTTGACGATAGAAAAGTTCAAGTCATCACCTTTATCATATAGCTTGGATGTTAGATTACCATTAGCGTCTTTTTGAGGTAAAATATCCAAGTATGAAACAGAAGTGTCAGACGTAGGAATGGAAATTACCATTGTTAATTGACAATACGTCGTCGATATATCTTAATGTCGAGTTGAAGGCCACAACAGCAAGTGTTTTCTTCTTTTAATCCATACGATTTTGCATAAAGTCTGCTTCATATGAATATAAAAATGTCTGCTTAAAACGGAGTGCAATTTGTACCCATGGGAATTCCAAGAGTATCTGGTCACCAAATTAAAGCAATATAGATATTGTTAATAAGAACTCAAACATCTTTTTGATGTCAACTTCAGAATGATTATGTGTGCAATCAGAATCTGTTTAAAAAAAAATAATTAACCATCACATGCATTAGCATCCTGCCCCTGGTCTACTACCAAACCACCTGGCCTAGCTACGTTATTTTACTCCCAGAAGAACCATGCCACTCGTGCGCTCAGAATGGGTACTAAGTACACATGTACCAGTTCTCATGTACACATAATTCAGTTCTTAATTTCATTTTATTTTCAGAAAAAATAACAACAATATCATAAAAAAAAACACGGTTTCTTATGGAATAAAAAAGTACAGAAAATGCCAGACAAAACTTTCCATATGTTCATGCATTCAAATACCATCATCTGCACTCTCGAAGTGATATGGCCATTATATAGTACACCCTTCAACTAATTTCATTCTTTTTGAAACATATTTTTTTTTTTATGAGTTTCATCTCTTCAGTAAAGTTCCAAAATTACCAAGTGGATCATAAGTTGCACAAATGTCCTTTGATAATGTTGACTTAACGTAGAAGACAAGTGAAATGACATTGATTCACTGAGATTGATCCAATCCTGTTTTGATTTACTAGTATATCATACCATGTATTCATTTATCATTTTCCCTTAGAATCAATTTGTACAAAATGAAGTTCCACTGAAATCATTAAATAAAGCAAGGTATTTTAAAACATGCACAGATAAAGAGACAAAAAAACTTAAACAAGTCTTAGAACATCTTTACAAGAGGAGGCACATGATCATGTCACATATCACTTTTATCATAATGATGATGGTTTTTCACATGTAACTGGAGGGAGGTCTTTTGATTGCAAGCTTTTGGGCACAGGTCACATTGGAATGGCAACTCCTTTGTATGAATGCGCTGGTGACATTTTAATTCGTATCTCGATCTAAAGAACTTTCCACATGTAATGCATTTAAAGGGTTTAATACCTGCATGCATCCTCTTGTGGCGATTCATTGCCCCGGAGAATATGAATCCCTTCCCACAGATGTCACAGATAAAGGATTTTTCTCCTTTGTGGATCTTAAGATGTACTCTTAAATTAGCTGGATGATTAAAAGATTTTCCGCACTGTCCACAATCATATGTTCTATCGTCATGCACTTTAAGCATATGTTGATTCAAGTCAGCCCTTCTGCCGTATGTAGATCCACATAACTCACAAATATGTCTAACTCTTAGTTCCTCATTACAAACATGCTGGCGTAAATGGAGAGCTTCTGAGAAAGACTTTTTGCAAACTCTACATTTCACCTTTTTCACCCTTTCCCCCTTTTTAGCCCTGTGAATTTTCTTATGACAAACAAGAGCAGATCTAGACTTAGTCACTTTGCCACACTCTTCACAAATTGCACCTTTTAAGTTGTGCTGTCGTCTGTAATGTACCATTTTAATTTTAGTCGAAAACTTTTCACCACAAAGAAAACAATCAAATATTTTATCGCTAGTTACATTTTTGGACTCGGAACTCTCATCACTTACAGCTTCCTGGTCAGATTCCACGTACTCAGATCCATCACTATCACTAAAATCATCATTCTGTAAATCGTCTTCAGAGGAACAACTTCCCAAATCTCCATCTTTCTCTATGAAATCAGTCTTTGAAGTTCCCTTCTTTGAATACACTTCTACTGCTGTGCTCTTCTTTGAAATACTCTTTTCATAATCCTCCAGCAACTTCTCCTTTGAAATCCTTGGCAGCTTTATCACTGGCACTCTCTTCTTCAATATAATGCTTCCACAATTTTCGATCATTTTCTCTTCTGAAATGCTTTCTTTAGGTTTTTTTATTTTTACATTTAGAATGATTCTTCCAGAAATCTTCTCTTCATTTGCATCTTCTTTTTCTTTACCTGTATCTTCTTTCTCTTCATAAACATCTTCCTTTTCTTCATCTGAATCTTCTATCTTTCTAGATCCATCATTTTTATTTTCTGAAACGTCGTCCTCTTTCTGACGAACATAAAATGCTTTATCAACAGTTACAATTTTGGACTCGAAATTCTCATCATATACATCTTCCTGATCAGATTCCATGTACTCAGTTCCGCAACTATCACTAACAAGATCATTCTGTAAATCATCTTCAGAGGTACAGCTTTTAGAATCTCCATCTTTCTCAATGAAATGAATCTTTGAATTTGGGTTTTTTGAATTCACTTCCATTGGTGTACAATCCTCCCTTGAACTTGATTCTTTCCTTATATCTTCAGAGGAACAACTTTTTAAATCTCCATCTTTCTCTATGAAATCTGTCTTTGACTTTGTTTTCTTTGAATACACTTCCACTGCTGTGCTCTTCTTTAAAGATATATATGCCGTATTAATATTTTATTGCTAAAGAAATAAATATATGTGGTGTCTCATCAAGTTACATAAGTTATGTAATTTCTGCAATTAAGACAATTCCACTCCATCACTTTTAAAAGTTATCAAATATTATTTTGTAAAAATTATTTTCTCTCCGAATCGGATATTAAACCGCCTCTTATTGAAATATTCATGAACACGTGGTCTCGCATGCTCACAGCAAACAATGGTCCAATCTCGTGAATGAACCGAAAAGCATGATGGTCTACTACGTTTTCACTACAAACACGTGGGTTAGGGAATTGTACGATGCGATTTCAAATGAAGGCTGGAAAGCCAATTTACATTTTTTTTAAAACCTGTTTTAGAAAAATAGGAAGAATAGTTACTAATTGAGAATTCCCATGCTCACATTAACAAACAAATGCAGTTTTTCTTGGTAGCATACTGTATGTTTCGAAGTTGTACACATTGTAAACATTGTTAATATGTGAGCACACCTCAGAGTTAGTTGCTTTTTGTACCGAGGAATATATAGTCACGTGAAATTGTCTTTTCACTGTCAGTAGAGCACAGGGAAATTGTAAACAAACGGACCTGTACAATAGAGTGGGGAAAACTCTTATTTTATCATTGTTCATTTTTATGCAAATGTTAGCATGGAATTTGTAGATGATAATGTACATAATGCATTAAGCGTGTAAATGCTTGGGAAATGCACCACGTCTTTCTGAGAGCGATTTAAAAAACTAGCCTGTTCGAAAAACACATGTAGTATTTACATGTATGTACTGAGTAGTAACCCATAAATGCATTGAATACAACTCATTGAGCTGATTGGTCGATTTGTCAGTCTTGTTGGTTCCTCGCTGAACAGACGTCACAAAAAATAGTTTCCTCGACCTGATGATTCTCGTGATGCTTTTCCCGCGCACATGCGCAGATCCAACATAAACGTCAATCCTTTATTAATATGCATAAGAATATTGTGTTCTTTTCCCGACCAGTACTTTGTTAATACCGAATAATATTTCGTCGAATTTGCGAGAATGCTTCATTTTTGATAGCTTATCATACTTCAGAAATTTTTGTTTGGTTTCAGCTGTGCAAAAATACTGTTTAACACGGCATATATATCTTTAAAATACTCCTTTCATACTCCTCTAGCAACTTTTCCTTTGAAATTCTTGGCAGCTTTATCATTGGCACTCTTTTCTTTGATATAAGGCTTCCAAAACTTTCCTTCTCTTTCTGAGGAACATCTTGCTTCTCTTCAGTAAAATCTTCCGTCTCTTCAAATCCCTCTGATTCATCATCTCTGTCAGAATCTATCTGCATTTCTTGAGGGCCATTTTGCTGTTGATTTACATCCAATTCTTTTTCATGTATGACAGTGGTAGGTTCATACTCCGCACTTGTGTCATTATTGACCTCTTCTTCACTATTTAAGAAGTTCAAGATGTTGTTCACCTGACTCTGAACATCATCCAGTTGTTCATGTTCAATCCCGACGTTTACTCTGACAGGTTTTAAGAAAGCATTGATTTTCAGCTCAGAAATGTCAAACATACTAGAGTTTGTTTCAGCTGAGCACCATTCCATTACTGTCTTATTAGATTCACAGTCTAATTTGTACAGGGTGATTGGTGATGTATATTAGTGCTAGACCTATGAGGGTGTATATCCTTATAGGTGTTGGTAATAGAGATGTAGTAGCTTGGACATATGTAGGAGCTGGAGGAGTTTGATTGCCTTTGTTACGTTTATAAGTGAATCCTCTGGACAGTGGATCCCTTTTTGAATCTTAAAGGTGTAAAAAAGACATCTGTTCCACCTGAAAATAAAAAAAACAGTGTAATGTTTACCATTGGCTATAACAAGAGGCCCATGGGCCTTATAGGTCATCTGAGCATCATGCAATGCCATAAAATTCACAAATTTTGAAGAGGCATTTTTGCTTATCTTAGCTACCGGGGTATGTACTTAGTTTATTTAATGAACAGAAGCAGAGAAGTCTGATTTTCAAAGAATTATACATTTTTTATATAATCAATAGAGCCCCGTCCTAACACCAGAACCCCTGACCCTTCCATTCTTCATCATCTGTACTTTAGTTACTTTATTCAATACTCAGGAGAAGAGAGAAAAGATTTTAAAGACAAAACGCTTTTCATTATATAATCAAAAGAGCCCCAACCTAACATCAGAACCCCTGACCCTTGGGTCATAAAATTCACAATTTTGGAAGAGGCATTCTTGCTCATCATAACTATGTACTTTGTTATTCAATACCCAGGAGCAGAAAAAGGATTTACACAGATTTGATGCTTTTCACTATACAATTATCAATAGAGTGACTCACTTTAAGATCAAATCTGTATTTCCATTTTTCTTCACAGATGCTTTGCTTTAAGAGCTTTGTCAAGCAGCACTCTCTTTTACTGATCCATCATATTTTTGACTAATATTTGCTCCCTCAACATGCTCAACTTTTCATAGTTTTTCATACCAAAAAGAACAAGAGGCCCATGGGCCACATTGCTTACCTGTGCATATGGGCTAGTTAAAACACAAATCAGCTCAGTATTGAAAATTTTACTTGTACAGGGAGGGGTTGGGTTTTCTATTACTTGAAAATATCACTTTATTAATAGAGCATAAATGTACCATTTTGATGACCTACTTGAAAAGAAGATTTTAAAAGATTTTTCTGATATATTACATGATATCTTATTGTGACCACCTCCTTCCAGGACATTATTTGAAAAAAGAAATCTTCACTATTAGTAGATGCTTACATGTCAATTTGATTAAACAAACTTTTTTGTTCTGGAGATGGTTATTTCCTATAATATGCAAAACTTTGATCCCTCATTGTGGCTTCACCCTAGCCCTGGGGTCATAATTTGAACAAACCTGAATCTAAACCACCTGAGGATATGTCCATTAGTTCCATATAATAAAGTTACTATTGATGGATTTGGTGTTCTCTATAAATTTTTTGAAGATATTACAGCAGATATTTCTTTGTAAAACTAAATCCGACACTGTGCCCCCATCCTACCCCCTAGAATTGTGATTTGAACAATCTATTTTTAAACTACACTACCTGGTGATGTTTCCATATATATCACCAAGCATGTCATGGATTTACTGTTTTTGAGAAGAATATTTTTCTAAAGATTTTCTTATACATATTATATGTATAGATTTGATTGCCCATTAATTAATTATTGTAGTTCCTACCACAGATGCTTGGGGACGGGACCCCACCCCCACCCCCCATGGATAAAATCCATACCATTGGACACTTAAACATAAGTTTTAGTATCAGAGGGTATGGATTTTTATATAAGGATAGTTTTAGCTTAAATTTTGATTTTTTTAGTAACAATACTTTGTGAATATGTCATACAAAAATATTTAAATCAAATAAGTCAAAGAACCCTTGCTGTACGGAACAAGGAAGGGGAGGGGCGGTCCCGTCCCCAAGCACCTGTGTACCTACCCCCAGTTATGTTGAATTAAGTTTACTACATCTTTTCATCAGGTCAAGGAAAATCACTATATTTAGCTATATAACTTAATTTACCTATATAGCTTTATTTACCTATAAAATATAGCTTTATTTAGCTATTTTTCAGAGTAAATTTCTGTTTTATAAAAAGAAGACAAAAAGACGCATAATGAGGCAATATTAGTTTTCAACTATGAAGTGGACTAAAAACAATTCACCAAAAACCCACTTCTAAAAATGTCTCTCCTCTTGTGCAATTGCAATCAAAGATCTAAACGTTTTGTGGCTATGAATAACAGTTTATCTGTGAGTAAGAAGCTACTTTAACAAAGAAAAGCAGTTTTGGTCAACAAGATACTGTAAACAAAGTATTATACTCGTGCGATAAATATCCGCGAGTTCCACGAGTAACCTCTGCTCGTGGATATTTATCGTCGCGAACCAGTTGTTCATTATATTCTCATGTTATGATTTATTTAGACTGAGTTATTTGCCCTTTTATCAATACCAATCCCGACGGTTCAACAAGTAATCACAGAAGAACTTTACTGTTAGTGTACAAGAAGCAGTTAAAATTTTATTACAAACATTCAGAAAAAATAAAACAAAATGGCAAATTGAAAACAATTTGTCTAAAATTGATTAAAATGTCAATAATCATTTCAGCTTGTGTTATTATTGTTCATTTATTGTTACAGACGAGTCAGAGATAGCCTGGTTAATTACGGCTAATTATGGCCCAGTCCTGCTCTGTCCCAACCATTTATAGTAATTGCCCCTTGGCTATGTAGATCTTAGAAAGCGTCGATTATCGAATTTGTATGAGGCACTTTTACAATTGAGAGTTTTAAATCAATTTTAATCTCCTAGATTTTTTCCCCCGATTTTCATTTGAGCGTTGTGAAAATGCGTATGAAGTATACTCATGGCAAACAATTTACCCACTTTGGGGGTGGATATAAAATTTTAATTGGACGCAATGCACAGAATGTTTTGAATAATGTGTAAGCAGACCTCACGCTACCATTTTACCTAGTTTATCAGTCAGGGGCATAACTTAAACAAGTTATTTTCAAAAATAACTCAAATGAGTTATTTTTGTTTATGGGCGGATATAAAATTCTAATTTGATTCAAAAATACTCGTGGAAATAAAAAAAAAATGTGTCGCGGATTAGTTCTCTAGCGGTCACTCGCGAATAAAAAAAATAACGCGTATAAATATTGATTTACAGTAATTGATTGGTAATAATAATTGAGCACAATGCAAGTCAATCACACTTAGTCATGCCTCACTGCACTTCCCTCTATCTAAACAATAGAGGTGCAGTTTTTGGTTAAAAAGTGTTTAAAAGAGGCAATGTTTTTACTATCTATGCCCTTGGTTGTTTTTATCAAACCTTTTGGAAAAAATCTCAGCCATAATTTACATGCGACTTTTTGTCTGCTTTTAATTAAATAGAAACTTATTCCAAAATAGCTAAATATTATTTATATTATTATATAATATTATATCTATTACTGGAACACTCTACCAGAATCAGCCATACTTTCACCATCGTTGGAGCAGTTTAAAACTTCCATTCAGAACCTCCAACTTTGGAACACCTACCCTGCACACTAATATATCAACAGTGACCTGTACAGTGTATATATATGTTAAGGATCAACCTTTTTTACATTTGGACATTCCACTGCACGCATGTACATAGTCCTCGCTGATAAATGTCCATATGGATTTTCGCGAGTAAACCCATTGAAGTTGAAGTTGAAATAAAGCTATATTTTATAGGTAAATAAAGCTATATAGGTAAATAATTTAATTACACTTGTATCAAGCAATTCCATTGGCTGAATCATTCAGAGAAACATATAATATTTTGGATAACATAACTTGCCTACGTCACAATGAGTTACGTCAAAAACGTATTACTCCGCTTGACGTTACTTTTAAATTATGCTATATTTGAAGCCTTTTTTCCGGAGGAAAAATTGTCTCATTGTCTACACTGAAATTAAATTATAAGCAATGAAGCTAATTTCAACTTATGTTATACGATATAACATAACTTGGGGCAGTTAACGCTTTTTTATAAACCGCTTCGCGGTTTATAAAGCGTAAACTGCCCCAAGTTATGTTATATCGTATAACATAAGTTGAAATTAGCTTCATTGCTTAAATAAAGCTATATAGCTTAATATAGTGATTTTCCTGGACCTGTTCATCTGTTCATATTGAACTGTTGATGCACAGGGGCTTGTCACGAAATATTTATCCTCTTTTAATAAAGTTACCCCTACTATAAAAATACACAAGGGAGGAATCTAAAAATAGGAAATTCGCTACCACAAATTTTGACCGGACTCTCTATCTTGTTTCTGGGCGACTTTCGTTGCTGACCAAGTAGGAGTGAGTGGAGTATAGATTCAATTTTAATATTCTTCAGTCAAATTCTAATCAACGCGTACCGTTAGTCACATAACTAACCTCTTTTCTCGATATTTGGATCTGGCGACAGTTCTTTCCATATGAATTTCCGGCGTAAATTGAATGCAGGGCTCTGATTGGTTGCTTTCTATAAATAACTCGTACACAAAGTAGCTCTTTAATTTAGTGCACCAAAACGGAGGGAAAACAAACTATCGTAATGGCATTGAACAATAAAGCTGTGGTTTCATTGAACGTATTTTACTATATTTGGTAATATTTATTTATATAAACATGTTAAATATCCTTCATTAGGCATGTCAATCCTTACAGTTTATATTTTGTGTACGAGTTATCTAAAGAAAGCAACCAATCAGAGCACTTCTTTCAATTTACGCATATGGAAAGAACTGTCGCCAGATCCAAATATCGAGAAAAGAGGTTAGTTATGTGACTAACGGTACGCGTTGATTAGAATTTGACTGAAGAATTTTAAAATTGAATCTATACTCCACTCACTCCTACTTGGTCAGCAACGAAAGTCGCCCAGAAACAAGATAGAGAGTCCGGTCAAAATTTGTGGTAGCGAATTTCCTATTTTTAGATTCCTCCCTTGTGTATTTTTATAGTAGGGGTAACTTTATTAAAAGAAGATAAATATTTCGTGACAAGCCCCTGTGGTTGATGCAGCATTCATAATATTACGAATATCTATTATAAAGTAACTGATGCAGAAGCCTGCTCTATAGTAATTTTGTTGAGCACTCTGGAACGTAATTACTGGGGTGAAAACACTGAGGGCAAACATAATTAAACATGCCTGATATACCCGAATGATATTTTTACCCCCCCCCCCCTTTTCCGCTTTTTTTTCAATAATTATATATTTTATATTTTCTATGCTTTATAATGTTACTCTGAACTGCACATGAACAAAAATGCAAATATCAAAGACATAATTTACCTTTAAACAGGTGGTTAGTATATAGAAAGTTCCTTTCGCATGCGTTTCCTTACAAAGTCGTACTGGAAGTAAACAAAACAGGGACGGTGTAAAATTAGGGTACGCCCGATTGCCGTCTCCAACGATACAAATGTATGAGGATCATTTTTTATGTATAAAATTTATGAGAGATAAAAGACGAATTTGAAAAAAGTAAACTTTCTCCTATTATAAATAATTTTAAATATACATACATGTAGATGTACAAGTGTGCATGTATTCAAAAACCAATAAAACACTTCATGAATAAATAAATAAATAAATAGATAAATAAAATATAAATAGACAAATAAATTAATTTTAATAAACTTATAAATAAAAAAAAAATTAGTGAATATAGAAATATACACATAGCTAGGTCCCTTATATTACATGTATTAAAATTTATATGCGATCCTCAGTCAGGAAGATTAAATATTTATAATTAAATTAAATTACTAGAAATTTGAAACCACCTAATATCCTACTGTGATCAGTGATTTAGAATTAAAAAATAGAAAAAAAATGCTTACACGATCAGGTTTACTGCTTTGGTATGTTGTGTTAAATAAAACATTATTTAGTGTACTATTAATCAGTAATGATTGCGTTTTATTGTAATTTTAATAGAAGGCCTCAAGGAAGAAAAGTGGTCGCACTAATTGAGCCTCCCCCTTTCTTCAAATAAAGTATCTTTATTAATACATATGTTAGTCAACATTAAATTCAATTTTGTGTATCAGTTGTGATGCTAAGTACATGGAAACACATGCTTTTATCACAAAGTAGTTTTGGGAGTCTGGAATTTCTATGATTTCTATAGTGATTTACTTAGGGAGAAGTGTATAAGGTAACAAACAGTATAGTCAACTTCAAAGTTTCTTAAAGAGGCTGGGTGGTCGTGTCTTTTAGACTACATGTATTTTGATATCCTTTAGAAGAAGAGCTCAATGTAAAGACATGATAAAATAATCAAATTTTAAAACGAATATTTATGTAATTTTTCTTTGCCAAATGATATTTGACAGCTCAAGATATCATACCGGTATCTAAAAAAATAAGTTATATTAATTTGGTGGTTAATTAAATAATAATCTAGCTGTTGACCCCTAGCCTCCTTAAAACGATAGAAGTTAGGAGTTTAGCGAAAACAGGCAATTCAAACATATCAAAGGTATGATCAGGTGGGATGGATGAGTGAACATTCCCTGCAGTCTCGTCACACACTCTGTTTGATCCTTCTTATGATAAAAACAACGGAAAAAAACTGTCCAATGTGGAAATTATATCCTTACCAAGAAGAACAACAGTCAGCATTTCATTTACCAGGTAATAATAAATTCTATTTGCTGACAAGAGCATTGTATCCACTCAAATATTAAAAAAATACAAAGACAGACAAAGTCAGCTGGTACCAGTACATACAGATTGGATTCTCTATCTAATTCTTTTTCACTTCTGAATTATTTAACACAGGAAAGAAAAAAATGTCTTCTACTGTGTACAGATCTATTCCCTATAGGTTAAAACATGAAGTGATGAGTTATTAGTTATCATTAATATGAGATAGGTATAGTTCATATAACGAAATTCTTAGTCAGGGATCAAACAAATACATGTATCAATGTTTAGAATTATGTGTTTAACCAAGTGGTGAGTTTGAAAAGGACATGTTTACGTCACTCGTACATGTCGTATTAAGAAAATTATTTATTCACAACACAATTAATGGATTTAATATATCAAAGAAAGCTCACGAGGCAAGCCTCCTTAAGAGTATTTAGCTTTCATAAAGAAAATTTATTAAGGTTAGATAAGACCACAAAACAACAAACAAATCACATTGATATTAGATAAGTATTAGATAATTAAGCAAATTCGCTATTTAATTAAGAAGATTCATTACCAACGTGTACCATACAATGGATATCAAAAATTATAGCGAGCCAGGGCAGCGAGCGTAACTTCGAGCTCTTAAAGCAACGCCTGGGCGTAGAGAATATTAACATTCAGACTGCTGCACATTCATTCGTCAGATTTTTGTTCCTCAGTAACTCTTGACCCACAATGCATCACTTGTAAATTTCTCTGTTAACTTTGTTGAAAATTATTTTGCATAAAACATGCATTGTACCAGTTAGAATGTGTATATTCACGTTTTCGTGCAACATAGTTGTATGGAACGCCAAATTAACATACATTCAAATATTTGTACCTATCTTCAAATAATTGCAACTATCTTCAAATAATTGTACCTATCTTCAAATGAATTAAAGATATAAGTAAGTACAAGTGAATTAAAGATAGATACAATTGGATTGAAGATAGGTATAAATAATTATACTTATCTCTAAATAATTATACATAGGCACAAATAAATTATACCTATCTTTAGTGGAATAACACTATTTTCAATTTAATTAAAGATATGGTCAATTGAATCATACCTATCTCTAACTGATTTAAAGATAGGTATAATTGATTTGAAGATAAATTCAATTATACTTAGGTATAAATAATTATACTCATCTTTAAATAATTATACATAGGCACAAAAAATTATACCTATCTTTAATGGAATTACACTATTTTCAATTTAATTAAAGATATGGTCAATTGAATTATACCTATCTCTAATTGACTTGAAGATAGGTATAATTGATTTAAAGATAGGTAAAATTGATTTGAAGATAAATTCAATTAAGACATATCCACAAAGGAGTTGAAGATAGGTACAATTCAATTATTCCTAGATTCAATTCGTTTTATGTTGTTGTAAATAATGAACGCTCCCTTGGAGACAATATTGAGTATGGAGGGAAACGCACAGAACCTACAGAGCGACGACATAAGGAATGAAAGAAGAAATAAAGATTAATAGAAAATGTACAAAAAGCCCCATATACTTATAAAAACATACATATCATGTAAGTTTATCTTGTACATGTATTGCAGACAGATGAAGATTCCGAAAAAATTTCGCGCCAGTTGTTAGGTATCGGAAACTACGTATGTTAAAGGAAGTAGTTGTTATTGCCTATATCTTAGTAATTTAAGATAGGTTCAATTCAATTGTACCTATCTTTAAATCAATTATACCTATCTTCAATTCCTTGCATTTGTACTTATCTTCAAATTAATTGTACCTATCTTCAAATGAATTAAAGATAGGTATAATTGAATTGTACCGGTATCCATCTCTAATTCATTTAAAGATATGTACAGTTGATTTAAAGATAGGTGCAATTCATTTGAAGATATGTACAATTCAGTTGAAGATAGGTACAATTATTTGAGGATAGGTACAAATATTTGAATATATGTTAATTTGCTACTCCACATAGTTGAAGATTTTATTTTGCTCTCAGTGTATACGCTAACGTGCTTCATGAAATATATTACGACGTGAAGCGTCGTAGTTCATAACCCCATGAATCTTCAAAATATAATTTTTTTTCTTAAATAAACTTTTAGAGATCAATTGTATAATACTAATTCATTAAACAAAGCATAATAACAATGGACTTTTAACGTCCAAGAAAAATAACGTCATATTTCTGCATACTACGTCATCAGTTTCAAAGAGTGGTGATATGAATTCAGCGATACAGATAAGGTATATAATAAAATAAATAAATCATTTAAAAAAACACATTTAAACACATCAAGCTAGCCAATTTTATTCGGAAACAAATTATTCGCACATTTCATTTTCTTTGTTTATCAGCATTTGAAAAGAATATACATTAAGAAAAAACATCAACGACAAAAGGGAGTATCTCTAGCTAACCAAACACCTGCTATATCATATAATTAAAGAAATCACACATAAAATTATCAACAGGAGGCCCATGTGCCATATCGGTAACCCGAGTTATTTTGGTCATGCTATTTTTAAACATATTTCTTTTATGTGATACCTATTGTGGCACAATTACACCCCACGCATGGATTTGATTTTGAAATTGTAGATTCAACACCACCTTCCATGTACGTTTCAGTCTTCGGCCCAAGTAATTCGTGAAAAAAAGACTTTCAAAGATTTTTACTTTACATTTCAATGTGAAATTGAGGTTCCCTCCTGTTGCGTAGCCTTAATTTAGCAATAAAAATGATCTACAAAAATGTACAATTTATATAAAGAATGAAGTGTTTTCTTAGTGACGCTTGATTAACATTTTGATCTCTGTTACAGAGTCCCCGTTCCTGACAGTTGGATACCACAGATTGTGCCAGTAAGCTGGGGCCCAGGGTCCGTTAAGGAAGGCCCAGTGGCAATTATTAAACCACCAGCCTCCCTCACGATAAGCAGCACAGCTACCTCCGCCCCATTTATCGTTATCCCTGTCTGGAGCACTGAATGGCATTCCTGACAGATCCTTGCCTTGGAAATTAGGGTTCAACATGCTGTCACCTTAATATTCAAAGAAACAAAATCGACAGAAAATTCAATTCATATCAAGTCTCTTCATTAATAATTCTTGTTTACAGTGATTTAAATGAATAATGCACACGTTAAAAAGTCTTTCAAACATTACTCGAAATGACCTCAAGTATATCATGTAGATAATTCTCCCCTTTCATTTTGTGCTGTTAAAAACTATCTAATATTTATGTTAGATAGTTGTATTTCCCATTAAAATAGAAACCTCTCTCTTGCCTTCTTTGTTGTCATTAATTTATACTAACTCTCTCTCTCTCTCTCTCCTTTGCATTGGTACTCTACCATTTACTAGTACTTACCCAGGGTCCCATTGGCTGGTCCCCCGAGTAGGAGTCTGTAGTCATCTGTCTCATCAGCAATGGAGAATAGTTGATAGCGTTCATAAAAAGTGTTGCCATTTTGTAATGAAATGGAGATGTACAGGGACGAGTCATTTCCTTTGGTCAATTCATGAATCAAATCATTTCCTTCAAAAGATAATAAATATATGAGAGAGTATATATGTGTATGCCGTAGGTGTATGTTGTAGGTATTTTTTGCATTTTTATATATATCCTTGGTGTATTACTATCAAACATTCACTGGCTTAATGTATGTTGTTTTTGAAAGATGAATTATAACAAGATCATTGATATGTTTGGTTACTGATTCATAGGGGATTAGATACCTTGATATGTACAATTATGTGTTACATAAAATTAGTTTAAGTATGAGATAAAATTGAAATCCCTTAGAAATTCAGCAAATGTTAACGCTGCCATTATTTACAAAATAGGATCGTCTGAAATCCGAGAGAGGCCTTAGGAGTTTTGGTATGAAATTTCATTGCAAAAACTCAAAATCTTATTTCTTGAAATATTGCCCGAAATCGATAGTGTTACACACAGAGAGAATGCCTAAATAAACGACCTTTAACTTCGATGTTTTGACCTCAAAATCAATCTGGGTCCTTTTGCCACAGGACATTGTCATGTAATATTTCAGTGCAAAAGTTCAAAGGATTCTGAGATATAGCGCGGAAAAGAAAGTGTTATAACAGAGAGAATTTAAGAATCTATTACCTTGACCTAAAATCAATATAGGATTATTCTGATGGGCATAGGAAGTTGAGACGCGAAATTTCATTGCAAAAGCTCAAAGTTTTCTTGAGATATCGTTTAAAAACAATTAAAAGCCTTTTGTACAAACAGACAGAAGGACGAAAGGACGGACAGAGAGACCCAAATTAATATTCCCCACTTTCAGTGAAAGCGGGGGACAATAAACAATTACTCACCAATCCAATAAGAGTCGTTAGCCTCTCCAAAACCATTCTGGTAGTCCACCCACGATCTATTGAAACTCTCAGATCCACTCCCCCGTTTCTGTATTGCCTATAGGTTGTCATCGGAAAGAAATATGTAATTTGCTTTTTTTATATTCGGTTTTATTTGTTTTAATTGCTTTTCAATTCATTAAGTAATGAGAGAGAGAGAAAGAAAAAGAGAGATAAACAGAGAAATAAAGAGAAGAGCGAAATATCTTACAGTCCAACCTCCGCCCTCGGTTTCCATGTCGCAGTACACGGTGATATTGGTTTCGTTACGAAAAGGATTTATGGTGTAGACTCCGGACTGTGTCCGTCCATGTAGAAAATGGCCCTTGCAATCTGTATTTATACCTATGTAAAAAAAAAGATTAAAAAAAAAAATAAATATAGGACTTCAATGGTTTTTGGATAGATGTTACTTTTTAATCCAACTAAGTGTGCGGTTTTATCTTATATAAATAAATAAATAAATAAATATATATATATATATATATATATATATATATATATATAAAGCACAATTTACAACAACTCTTAAACTAACATAACTGCCCTAAGTGAAGAAATATTAATATAGAAAGCACAAAGAAATTCACTTGTATATGGATACCCACTTCCGCCCCAGCCCGTGGTTGAACTCTCGACCTACGGAATCTGTCTCCTAGCAGTACAGGAACAGCGCGTTAGACCGCTCGGCTATCTAGGCAAGTCAAAAAACTTGCTTTCGATGCCGATGGAATTCTCACAGCGCTGCCCTATACTACACGGTCATTGAGAATAGAAGTGAGATACAGTTATTTGGACATTAGTTTTATTAGAGGATTGTTACCAATACATGTTGCATGAAATTAATTTTATTTATAAAGCACAATTTACAACAACTCTTAAACTAACATAACTGCCCTAAGTGAAGAAATATTAATATAGAAAGCACAAAGAAATTCACTTGTATATGGATACCCACTTCCGCCCCGGCCCGGGGTTGAACTCTCGACCTACGGAATCTGTCTCCTAGCAGTACAGGAACAGCGCGTTAGACCGCTCGGCTATCTAGGCAAGTCAAAAAACTTGCTTTCGATGCCGATGGAATTCTCACAGCGCTGCCCTATACTACACGGTCATTGAGAATAGAAGTGAGATACAGTTATTTGGACATTAGTTTTATTAGAGGATTGTTACCAATACATGTTGCATGAAATTAATTTTATTTATAAAGCACAATTTACAACAACTCTTAAACTAACATAACTGCCCTAAGTGATATATATATATATATATATATATATATATATATATATATATATATATATATATATATATATATATATATATATATATATATATATATATATATATATATCTTAGTTGAATAAATGTATGGAGAGAGACATTATAACAGTGACACTACCGTTATAAGAATATCATCTCCACTCGGTTTCATCAGAATATTTGTGAAAAAAGAGAGACATTTATCCACAGAGAATGAAAGAAGGATGTGGAGATACTAGTAACAAACATTTTTATGATAATTTTGTTTTTACACTCTATTTCACGTATCGTATAGTTTTTGTACATGGCGTCCTAACCAAGCATAGCATATACATGTACACATATGACATCATCGGTGGTAGATTTTAATCAAAATTACAGATGCAGCATAACAAAATAAGGACATTTTATTTATGTTAAAATGTACACGATTCTTTTTTTGTACTAAAGTTAAATTACATCTCTGAATACCAAAATATTAGGAAAACTTGTGTTCTAAAATTGACGTCATCTCTCCTACTATGATGTCATAATATAACACTGATGTATGCAAGATAGAATATTTTGTATGCTTCCTTATTACCCCTAAGCGACAATACATACCACTATAAGAATAGTATTTCCAACCGACTTCATCAGAAACTCCAGTGTTAAAGACCTTCTTGTGAAGACGGCATTTCTTTAATAAAGGATTGTATCCATAAAAACCGCAATCATTTTTACACAAAGTAGAACATAAACACAGAGACCCTGCGTTATATTCTCCTATCAGTTCGTTATCTGACTTTTTATTATCAAACTCCAGCTTTGCTTTATATTGCAGAGAAATATTGTCAGCTTGACACAGCGTACAAAAGAGGACAAAGATCGCACAAAAACGGCTCATATTACTGTAAACCAATTATTATACGCGTCATTTTTTATTCGCGACTGACCGCTAGAGAACCTATCCGCGACGATTTGTTTCCGCGAACAAGTGGTCATATATTTTTTTCATTTCCACAAGTATTTTTGGCATCAAATTAAAATCTTAAATCTGTCCATGAACTAAGTAAAATGCTACCTTGAGTACTGCTTACGCATTATTTAAGACATTCTGTGCATTGCGTCCATTTAAAATCTTATACCCGTTCCTAAAGTTACAGTAAAATGTTATCATTCACGACGATGGAATGAAAATCGAAAAAAAAAATTTGAGGAGATCAGAGTTGATTTTTAAAAAAAAACTCCAATTGTGAAAGTGTGAAAGTGCCTCATACCAAATGGGTAATTAATCGACGCTTTCCGAGATCTACGAAGCCAAAAGGCAATTATTATTCTTTTTCGCCTTCCGGTCAGCCATTAGTGTAAGATGTAGGCTGTTAAAGCTCTGAGAGAAATAGTGGGTGCATTGAAGATACGTGTGTGTGTATTGTCTCTTGGCAAGTATGTCATCGTATAATATGCCATAGTTTCTTATATTAGTGATTTTGAAGCTGCTCATCAAATATAGACAAAATTTTTAATTAATTGTGTCGTTTGGTCCAATGAACTCTACTCACGATACCAACCAATGTCGGACTCTAGATGTGCCAAGGACACCAAACGTAAAAGGTCTTCTGAATTAAGTTTCTCTGAACACTTATCATCTCGAAGACGTATCACGTCTTCCTCATCCTTGCCAGATATTTCTAATCTGTCAGCCGAGATGGCCACTAACTTTGATAACAGTCAATCAAAAATCCCATCATCCTCTTCTTTGACCCCAACATCTACAGTCTTAAGTTCATCACCTGACCCAAACAAAAGTACTGGCTCTTCAACAGCTATAGTTGACTCCAACGGGGAGATACAAACATCCGCCATTAATGAACTCAGTGTTAAGGCCGTTCATAGTCAGGCTTTCATGGGGGCATTTGCTCCACTTATTGCATCTGCAATCACTCCCCACATCCAACTTATCGTTCAAAGCTGTCTCCAGCCCATTTTAAGTTCAATTAAGGAACAGCAAAAAGATATAGAAGAGCAAAATGAGGAAATAAAAACTTTAAAAGAGAGTAATGATGAACTAAAACGTAGAGTAGATGATTTAGAATATGGGCTAGACAACCTAGAGCAGTATGGGCGCAGACCATCTCTACGCTTCCATAATGTCCCGTTACCTGAGCCAGGCGAGGATGGGACAAGGGAGCCACTCGACACTGAATCCGCAGTTATCCAGATCTGTGCAGGAATGGGTGTTACTATCACTCCTGATGATATAGATAGATCTCATCCTATTGGTAGCCCAAAACAAAATAAAATTCAAATCATATGCAGATTTAGAAATTGGAAGATCAAAAACAGAGTTTACAGCGCAAAAAAACAATTGAAAAACAATGTCAATAAAATTTTTGTGACGGAAGACTTGACCAAGTATAGACAAGCCTTAGTTTCTAAAATCATACAAGCAAAAAAATCAGAAATCGTCCATAGTTTCTGGACCTACGACGGGAGAATTTTCATTAATTTTGAAAAGAAGGGACACCGTTACGAAGTACGTTCATTCGAGGATCTTGAAAATCTCCTTAACGGGTAAATGAATTATAAATAACCAAAACATGTGAGACATTCATCAAGACTGCCACTTACAATCCCAAGGACACAAAATATCAATTTACGTATCATATTATATTATATGTAGCTATTAAGCACTACATTTATGTAAATATAGCACTATTCACCCACTTGCTCTCCCTTGATTATGTCATTTGGTTTCTTTTTGTTCATGGTGATCGGTCGTTCTTTTGTACATATGTCACTTATGACTGAATCACATAGATTTCCATTTTTGTTTTGTACTTTATTTTTTTGTCTTTTTACCCCCATTTTCTTTTGTTTTTGTTTGTTTTTCTCCATTTTCATGTGTTCACAGTCTTGTATGTATGCTCCGCCCTATTTGCGATATTGCTCTCACATATTATACATTGCGGCTCTACAATCTATTTTTAAAGAAAAATGTATCAATATTTTAATCAAAGATAGGTAATTCTATCGAGCAATATCGAGCCGCTATTGGCAACTATTACTGCAATAGCAGATGTACTATCCAAAAAGTGTTCTTTCCTTTTTTAGATGTCAAAAACCTACATTTATATTTGATAAACTCTAGAAAGAAATGGTTTAAACTACAAAAAATGTGTGGTATTTTTCAAAACTTTCTGCATCTGCAATTTTGGTTTCAAATTATTTTTTTCTTGCATCTTTTGTCAGGGGACATTGAAATAAATCCGGGACCTACAAATGATCAGATACACACATTGGACATCTTTCATTTAAACATCAGAAGTTTACGACATAAGATTGAAAATGTAACAGCATTAATCACGGATTTTGATATTTTATGTTTCACGGAAACACACTTGGACTCAAGTATTTGTAATAGTGACATTATGATTGAAGGTTATGATACAATTTTTCGCAAAGATAGAAATTCTAATGGTGGAGGTATCATTATCTATGTTTCTTCATGTTTTCGTGCTATTCGTCGCATTGACCTTGAACCCATGTCAATCGAATGCGTCTGGATAGAAATAAGTGAACCTACCTGTAATCTTTTTCTTTGTTGTATATATCGTCCACCCAGTAGCGAAAAATCCTTTTGGGACAAATTTTTATGGTCAGTTGAAAAAGTATCAGATATATCCAACAAATTTATAATTGTAGGTGACTTAAACGTTGATTTCCTTGACAATACTCGCACACTTCCTATTAAAGACATCATGCTGAATTATCACTTGACAAACACAATCAGCGAACCGACACGAACTACATACACTTCGAATACTCTTATTGACCCAGTTTTGATCAGCTCAGACCTTGTAGCACTCCACTCAGGCGTGATAAACACAGACAGTACACTAACTGATCATAAAGCAACTTACGTTTTTTTAAAATCTAGTATCATCAAAAGTCAACCTTATGTTAGGAAAATATGGGATTACAAAAATGCTAATATAGAAAAACTTAATAACCTTATAGAAAATGCTGACTGGGAAAATCTTATTTGTAATGCAGAATCAACTGACGAAGCTACCGAAAATTTTTCAACCAAATATCTAGATCTCGTTAGGGAATGTGTACCGGAAAAATCAGTATTAATAAGACCCAAAGACAAACCTTGGTTTGATTCACTTTTAAGGAAAACCCATCGGGAAAAAAATAGGTTGAGACGAAAAGCACAAAAAAGTGATAAACAGAGTGATTGGGATAATTTTAAGCATATAAGAAATAAATTTAATAACATGAAAAAACATGCTATTGAAAATTATCAAAATACTCTTGAATTACAACTAATTGATTCAAGTAAAAACAACTCTAAGCTTTACTGGAAACTTCTAAGAGACACTTTTAAAAGTAAGTCAACCACAGACATCCCCCCTTTACAGTACACATCTGCATCAGGTGATGTTAATTTTGCTTTTTCTGAGGAAGATAAGATACATGTACTCAACACTTATTTTGCTTCAATTACATGTGTTGATGATGAAATGTCTGAATTACCTAAAGAAAACATTGAGTGCAATAGTGTTTTTGACAATATCTTTATTTGTGAACAAGAAATTATTGACATTTTATCTATATTACCTGTCAATAAAGCCATTGGAGAAGACTGTATTAGCCATAAAATGTTAAAATCAACAAAATTATCTGTTGTTAAACCTCTGTGCTTATTGTTTAACCGTTCATTGAAAGACTGTGTTTTTCCAAAAAAATGGAAATTAGCTAATGTAATCCCTTTGTTTAAAAAAGATGATCCTGCAGATTTATCTAACTATAGACCTGTTTCATTGTTAAGCTGTGTCAGTAAAGTGATGGAGCGTATTGTATTTAAACACTTGTACAACTATTTTCACTCTAACAATATTTTTTATAAATACCAGGCTGGTTTCTTACCTGGTCACTCTACTGTATATCAGCTGTTAGAAACATATGATAACATTGTTAGAAATATTGATGAAGGCAAATCCTGCTGTATGATTTTTTGTGACTTATCTAAGGCCTTTGACCGTGTATGGCACAAAGGACTCTTATTTAAATTAAAAATGTATGGTGTAAAGAAAGATATGTATAGTTGGTTAAAAAGCTATTTAGAGAATAGAACGCAAAGAGTGATATACAAAAACCTGGTATCCCCTTCTGAATCCCTTTATGCGGGTGTTCCACAAGGCTCTGTATTAGGTCCATTGTTATTTTTAATTTATGTGAACGATGTAGCTGACAAGATGTCAAGCTTTTGTAGACTTTTTGCTGATGATAACAGTTTGCAGTATGCATCTAAATGTGTCAAATCTATAGAAGGTCATCTGAATAATGATCTTTTATCTCTTGAAGAGTGGTCTAAAAAGTGGTTGCTAAAATTTAATCCCTCTAAAACTAAGGTTGTATTTTTTAACACAAGAAAAAACAAAGAATTTCCAAAACTCCTTTTCCAGGATAGCCAATTAGAATATGTTCAAACTCATAAGCATCTAGGGGTAACGTTTTCATACAACTTAAGTTGGTCATCTCACATTGAAATCTTGCTGTCTAATGCATACAAAAAATTAGGTCTTTTGAAAAAACTTAAGTTTAAAATAAATCGAAAAAGCCTTTCACTTATGTATACTTCATTTATCCGTCCCCAACTTGAGTACGCTTCAGTTGTATGGGGTGGTTGTCTATCCATCGATTCTGAAAAATTAGAAAAATTGCAACTACACGCAGCTCGGATTGTTACTGGACTAACTATGATTGCATCTAGAGACTCTTTGTATTTTGAAACAGGCTGGGAACCACTCAGCGACAGACGTAAGATCCAAAGATTAAATATCATGTACAAAATTCACAATGATTTAGTACCAGATTACCTATCTGAGATTATACCTGATATGCGATGTAATGCTTCTGCATATACAACAAGAAACTCTCAAAATTATAGTATACCTGTATGTAAATTGCAAACCTACAAATCATCATTTGTACCAACTGTAATAAATGAGTGGAATTCCTTACCGCTAAATACCAGACTTTCGAGCTCTTTGTCTGTTTTCAAAAGTAAAATTAAACAAAAAATAACAGAAGCTCCGCCATATTTTAATTTTGGTAAAAGACGCAACAATATACTGCATACACGGCTTCGGCACAATTGCGTGCTAAACGCTGATCTTTATAGATGTAATATAATATCTAGTCCACTATGTTCCTGCGGTAAGGTAGAAAATACGCATCATTATTTTTTCTCGTGCCCTAACTACAACGAGGCCAGGAAAGAGTTTTTCGATAAGTTTTTGAGATTTAATAAAGTCCATATTGTTGACATTCAGACTTTACTTTGGGGGGATACATCACTCAGTATTGCTGAAAATGAATATTTATTTTCTATTGTACATTCTTATATTCAGCATTCTGGTAGATTTAACTGATTGTACACATTTTTAAAAACTATTTGTATACACAATAATGTAGCAGTCTATATATGTCCACAATGAGAGTTTATTTAATTTACTTGTTATTTATTTTGTACAAACTGTTGAACACTTCTAATTCATCCTGTTATAATATCTCATGTAGGGAGAGGGCGATTTAAGTTTTTAGAACTTGTGCCCAATCCCATTGTATATATTTTGTGCAATAAAATATGTTCAAACAAGATGCAGCATAACAAAATAAGGACATTTTATTTATGTTAAAATGTACACGATTCTTTTTTTGTACTAAAGTTAAATTACATCTCTGAATACCAAAATATTAGGAAAACTTGTGTTCTAAAATTGACGTCATCTCTCCTACTATGATGTCATAATATAACACTGATGTATGCAAGATAGAATATTTTGTATGCTTCCTTATTACCCCTAAGCGACAATACATACCACTATAAGAATAGTATTTCCAACCGACTTCATCAGAAACTCCAGTGTTAAAGACCTTCTTGTGAAGACGGCATTTCTTTAATAAAGGATTGTATCCATAAAAACCGCAATCATTTTTACACAAAGTAGAACATAAACACAGAGACCCTGCGTTATATTCTCCTATCAGTTCGTTATCTGACTTTTTATTATCAAACTCCAGCTTTGCTTTATATTGCAGAGAAATATTGTCAGCTTGACACAGCGTACAAAAGAGGACAAAGATCGCACAAAAACGGCTCATATTACTGTAAACCAATTATTATACGCGTCATTTTTTATTCGCGACTGACCGCTAGAGAACCTATCCGCGACGATTTGTTTCCGCGAACAAGTGGTCATATATTTTTTTCATTTCCACAAGTATTTTTGGCATCAAATTAAAATCTTAAATCTGTCCATGAACTAAGTAAAATGCTACCTTGAGTACTGCTTACGCATTATTTAAGACATTCTGTGCATTGCGTCCATTTAAAATCTTATACCCGTTCCTAAAGTTACAGTAAAATGTTATCATTCACGACGATGGAATGAAAATCGAAAAAAAAAATTTGAGGAGATCAGAGTTGATTTTTAAAAAAAAACTCCAATTGTGAAAGTGTGAAAGTGCCTCATACCAAATGGGTAATTAATCGACGCTTTCCGAGATCTACGAAGCCAAAAGGCAATTATTATAAATGGTTTGGACAGAGCAGGACTGGGCCATAATTAGTCGTAATTGACCAGCTTATCTCTAACTCGTCTGTGACAATAAATGAACAGTAATAACACAAGCTGATATAAGTTTGGCATTTTAATCATTTTTAGAACAAATAATTTA